TGTTAAAATGCTAACAGCTGTTAAAAGGCTAACAGCTGTTAAAAGGCTAACAGCTGTTAAAAGGCTAACAGCTGTTAAAAGGCTAACAGCTGTTAAAAGGCTAACAGCTGTTAAAAGGCTAACAGCTGTTAAAAGGCTAACAGCTGTTAAAATGCTAACAGCTGTTTAAAATCTAAGCTCATCATTGGCTCTGTAGTTACCATGGTAACAGGGACTGAAAGACCCAATCAGCAGCTGAGCTGTAGGAAGTCAGACAGACATCCTGGTCCTGGATCTGTGCTGGACCCTGGACCGCCTACTGGTCCTCATACAGGACCTCATCGATGAGGACGTCGTGGTCACCAACAGGGATCTGTGAGCAGAGCTGCTCTCTGAAGGCCAGGCCCAAGGTGTACGGTCTTCCTTTGGGGTGTCTGCTGCAGCGCTCCAAGTACGAGTCGTAGAAACCCTTTCCTCGTCCAAGACGTCTTCCACACAGGTCAAAACCCAGACCTGGCATCAGGATCAGGTCCAGACCTCCTGGACAGGAAACAGAAGAACATTTTCATTCCATCTGTTAGACTAAACATCTTTAGGACCACTGGAGACATGGACTCTACTGGTCTCATCTGGAGACATGGACTCTACTGGTCTCATCTGGAGACATGGGCTCTACTGGTCTCATCTGGAGACATGGACTCTACTGGTCTCATCTGGAAACATGGACTCTACTGGTCCATCTGGAGACATGGACTCTACTGGTCCATCTGGAGACATGGACTCTACTGGTCTCATCTGGAGACATGGACTCTACAGGTCTCATCTGGACAGAGAAAACAAAACCACACTTTGTCTCAGTCATGGGTTGCAGCTGATGTGGACCATGGTGGTCTACGTGGGCCGTACCATAAAGATCTGAAATGAGACGGTGTCCACAGAGGACCCTGTGTGACCTCGCTCTGCATCACTACATGAAACGTTTAGATCACATCACTTAGTTTTTAAGGTAGAAACTTCACAAAATTCAGTTTTAATAGAAAAACTTTACAAGTAAAAATAAAAAGCATGAATAGTTTGGGTTTAGCTCCAAGTCTTAGTTCTTGTGTTTGATTTAACTTCTCACTGAAACAAGTTTCTTCACAACTTGTTTAACTTGTTTTCTTTGGTCCGTGATAAAATTCCAAACTCCACTAAAAAACTAAACTCCACTAAAAAACTAAACTCCACTAAAAAACTAAACTCCTCCGTAGAAATAAATAAGAACTGAATCCTGGGACACCCTGAGTCTGTAGGACTGAATCCTGGGACACCCTCAGTCCTGTAGGACTGGATTCTGGGACACCCTCAGTCTGTAGGACTGGATTCTGGGAAACCCTCAGTCCTGTAGGACTGAATCCTGGGACACCCTCAGTCTGTAGGACTGGATTCTGGGACACCCTCAGTCTGTAGGACTGGATTCTGGGAAACCCTCAGTCCTGTAGGACTGAATCCTGGGACACCCTCAGTCTGTAGGACTGGATTCTGGGACACCCTCAGTCCTGCAGGACGCTCAGGTGCAGCTGCCTGAGTGGACACCTGCAGATTTACAGAGCAGGGACAGTACTGGTTTGGACGTGTCCAGAGCAGGGACAGTACTGGTTTGGACATGTCCAGAGCAGGGACGGGGGTATATCGGTAGAAGGATATTAGAGATGCAGCTGCCAGGAAAAAGACAGGACACTATGATGAAGTTCGAGGACATGGAGGTAGTTGGAGGACAAAGGACATGGAGGACAGAGGATACAGTGGACAGAGTGAAATGGAGGAGCAGGAGGACAAGCTGTCCAACATGAGACCAATACTAGGCAATTATGAACCAAGACTCAGGGTGTCTCCATAGGTCTTGTAAGTCCATTCCTTTCATGTTATCATCCTCTGAGGACATCCTGAGGACATCCTGAGGACATCCTGAGGACATCTTGACACAAATCTCTTTGTTTACAACCATCGAAATGTAATTAATTTGTTTAAAAGCTACAAAGAAACAATAAATACTCAGTCCTTCTGACTGGTCTAACTGTAACTATCAACACTTCTGGTTCCTTCTAGACTTGAAGACAAGTCTGGAACCAAAGAAGCCCCCAGCTGGACTGGTTCTGCAAACACACACTGGTCCTCGTCCCCTGGTGGGTGCAGACCTGCAGACAGAGCTTCCTCTCTGCTCTCGTCCTCTCCTGCAGGCTGTCGGATGTTCCAGGACGTCCGTGGCAGCGTGTCCATGTCCTGCAGACTGTCCATCTTCAACATGTCCATGTGGGAGCTGCTGCTCTCATATCTGGGAATAAAACAGCTTTTCCCACATCTGAACACGTCTTCAATGATTTCCTGAGTGCACACCTCATCCTCCATGCTGAGGAACACAGCGATCCGCTGAGACGACACGTACTTCGGGTGTTTGAAGAGCTACGAGGAAAAAATAGAATCAATCAGCACAAAATCCAAAATGTTCATTTTAACACAGATTAAACGTTTTAATCCAAGAAGCAGAGGGTGTGTTATTCTCTGCAGGCTGAGAGCATCTGAGAGATGAGCTGAAAGAATTAAAACTTTTCCCAGGAAGATAATAAAATCTTACTCTTTAGCAGACCCTCTGGTTTATGAAATAAACAACTCCAGTAAAACAAGAACCTTTTACATGTAATGTTCTAAATGTCTGTTCCACGAGGGTTCTGTTGGTTCTGTTGGACCTGTTGGTTCTCCAACATGATTTAAATCAAACTGGATTTAGATTCTGTCATCAAACAGTAAAGCTCTCAGTCAGGCCCGGCGTGGTGAATCAGGAGGATCTGGACTTTTCCCGGTGGGCCGGTCTGATGTTTGGACCACAAGGGTCGGTATAATCTGTTAGTTATTGATCTGATCACTGCTACAGCTTTCCCTGTGCTGCTGAACAATTATATGATACAATGGCTTGCCATACACCCAGGGCTGCCTGCGCCTCTAGTTGGCAGCTCTTCTGTTTCCTTTGTTGTTGTTTTGGTTTCAGAGAGGAGTAAAGTTCTTCCATCTTTGTGAAGAAAAACCGTCCACCATTAAACAGAGGTGGAGGTCTTCAAGTCCAGTTGTCCTCC